AGCATCATTACGGCATTGCGAATAGCAATTATACAAATGAGTTGTTTGGCAGTTTTGCTCACAAATACACTTGAAATGATGACATGAAAGACGACGTATGATTCATAATTTATTAATGCAAATATAATGCACAAACATTTTGATCGAATTCTCACAAAGCCTTTTAATGAAAGACTTATGTTGATGAGATGGTTTCACACCATCTGGCTGACCATAATTACGATTCGTTTTGTGCTACAGTGCCATAAGGAAAGAATTCTCTCGGTTGTGAATGTCAACAAAAAAATCATCCACTTCCTTCATTCAGCTCCTTATTTCTGATTCATAGATTATACTGTTTTCAATGGTTGTATGCAGGTGATGTTTCGTCAGTGTTTTTAAGTGGCCGAATGATAATTAATCGGAGTGATTAAGACGTGATCTGCGACGATCATAAATAACGATTGCTTTTATCGTGATCATCAAATCATTTTAATGTGTATTACTATCATAACACTATCACATCATACAGATCCACTTCAATTTCCTCTTTCCTTCTTTTGAACTTTCCTCATCTCGATTTCATCGCATCATTAATCTCATCCGTTAGCTAGCTTTGANTTTCCTTCTTTTGAACTTTCCTCATCTCGATTTCATCGCATCATTAATCTCATCCGTTAGCTAGCTTTGATGTTATCCATTTGATGTCAGGTTCTTTGAATTTTAACAACTTCAGTTAACTTTTCACTAGTTTGATTTTAGTTTCATTAGTACCGGTAGCTATTAGCACTAGCTATCGATCTTGTCACTACTAAGTGTAAGTAATTAATAAATTTTTCTTCGGTAAAAGTTCAGCTGCATTCGACCAAGTGACATTTCATCGAGATGCTATGAAAATTGTCGGGAATTCATACGTTTCAAGAAGGTGTTATATAATCTAGAATATAAGTGAAATAAAATTATGGATTTATGATATGAAATTATGATCGGGAAAGTTTCAACATAAGTTCAGGTGCGTTATGCAGTTTGGTTGGAGAAATTGGTGAATTGAGACGTGAGAATCGTAAATTGAGAAATCGGCTGAGTGCAGTTATTGAGCCAAGACGTGGAGTTGTTCATCGGGTTGGGGCGCTTTTAGATGCTGGTAGTAGGGCTGGGATTATACCAAGACTGATGGGACGACGATGCAATCAAACTGAGATTCGATGCGGCGCTCGAGAAAGACTTTCGAGTCCAACGCATAAGGTTGGTCAATGTTTTGTATCATTTTCAAGCCATTTATTTACTGAGTTTTGCACACT